AATCTAGCTTCTTGGATTATTTGCTAAGCATACAGATTGAATAAATTAAATGCTGTAGAGTCAGTTCTAATTTATAGTGACCCTGTTTTGAGTTCCCAAGGAGTGGCTGGTGGGTTTGAATTGTTGACCTTGCGGTTCAAACAGACTTGCGGTCCAGTGCTTTATCCTACAGTGCCACACCAGGACTATGTATGGTTAAAGACTAAATTCTACAGCACACTTGTCCTGATTTTCAACCATTCAGTATCCCCTTGTTTGATTCTAACAACTGCCTCTTGGTCTGTGTACAGGTTCCTCATGAGCACAATGAAATGTTCTTGAATACCCATTTGTTGTAATGTTATCCATAACCTGTTATGATTAACACAGTTAAAAGCCTTTGCATAGTCATCAGAACTATGTGAGAATAAAGTTTTGTTGTTTTAAGCTACACAGTTTGTGGTATTTTGTTATGACAGCTCTAAGACACTAATATAAAGTTTATTTCTTTATTATTATTATTTTAAACCAGATATTTCTAAAGCATTTGGACTTTTGGTGTGGTGCTAAAGAATAATCACTGAACATTGAACCACAAGGTTGGCAGTTCAAACCCACCAGCTGCTACTTGGAAACCCTATACAGGATTGCTATGAATCAGATCCAACTAGATGGCACTAAACAATAACAACAGAGCATTTAAATGCTATTGGCAATGATCTATTAGAGAGAATGGGGCTAACAGAATGGGCTGCTTAAATGTTGATTGATTCATAAAAACTTTGCAGGGATGTGAAATAGCTTTGACAGACTTAATTTAATCCCTCTCAATATAAAAGGAGGTCAAAAAACAAATTTTTGTACAGAGTTGGGTGACAGTTTTTTGATTGTGAGGGTTAAATATAATATTTGAAATGATTCTGATACTATAATATGCTGTAAAAACATTGTGATTTTTTAATGTTTATTTTTAATTTAAAAAATCAAATATAAACTCTAACTTCCAAGATTTATCTTGCCAGATAACATCAGTTTAGAT